CTCACATAAGTTCTCGGACGTTTTGAACAGATATTAAATGAAAACATGAAAATAACGGCACACAACAATACTTCATTAGATATCCTTTAGCTAAAATCTCATTTTTCATGCACTTTGCCAGGCATTATTTTTTTATTAGCCAAAAGAGCATTAGCCCAGAAGGTCTATTAATTTCAAAATGGCATTTTGCGTCGATCCGTTTCTTAAACTGTTGCCACCAAATTTTACCGCCACGTATTATATTTAAAGAAAATAAAGGATGAAGAATCTGCATGAATGAATGAATGTTTCTCTCATTGCGAAGAAACAACGGTACCTAGAGCTATCAAATTTTGAATAATGTTATCCTCCAAAAGAACCCGAATTTTCAGTTTCGAATTTGTTTTATTATCTATTTCAAATTTTGTAAAACTTTAACGAATTTTTGATTAACAAACTCAATGATTTCAAAGCCAACAATGGGAACACTGTACGAAAAAAAAAGCATTTTTATCTCCAGGGCGTGTGTGTCGGAAATTCTAAAGATATGCTGTTTTTAAATATTTTGTACTCGATATTGCGTTTTAAATAAATTAAGCTTGATTTAATAGAGCTCGATATTCCTTTTATTCAGAAAGATGGGAAAATGAACTCTCGGGACTATTGATCAAATAGTTTATGTTTATTAAATACAATAAAATAATGGGATACTGAATATTTTGTTGAATATCCTTTAGCTAAAGTTACATTTATCATGCACTTTAGATTCAAATTTTTTTTTTTTTTTTTTTTTTTTTTTTTTTTGCTTAAGAATGTTCTCTTTCGTACTATTCCTCCGTCGAAATTTCTTTAAGTACAGCTTTTAAAGAAATATCATGTTTCGCTTTTTTTTCTCCAACTCACTCGATACATGTTCGATAGGATTTAAATCCTTAGAATATGCAGGAGATTTGATTAACAACTTCAGGGCAATTCTATAGTAACTAGAAATGATCATTTGGGGTTGTATGTTTAGGGTCGTCATCCTCATAGAACTCGAATGTATTTTTTTCATTCCAAATTTTATTACCCATGCTTTCAGGTTTTCATTACAAATATTTATATGTATATACTTTCTAATGGTATTTTCTAGAAATAGTATATTTCCCATCTAGGAGGCAGATAAAATTCCCAAATTAGTATTTCTCATCTCATACTTAATAGTACACAATAATTTTTTCTGATTCAGTTTTTTATTCGGCTTCTCCACATAGTTATTCGTTCATCGGACTTAAACGTATTAAGTTGTGACTCCTTTGCAAACATAACATTATTTCAGTATGATAAAACTTTGCTAATCATAGAATTTGCTTCAAGAGTTCTTCCTAGTTTTCTTGTTGACGAAGGATTTTCTTCTTGCTGATCGCCCACTGTATTTATGTGCTCTAATGATTCTGCTAATAGTTTCAGGGCTAACTTTTATTGAAAATGGTTCTTCTAAATCCGATGCAAGTTTCTCAGCTTGAAATATTTCGGTTTTGTTTGATTTTTATGTAGGATCTTCAACTCCTTCGTAATAGACCGGAATGAAGTCCAGACTTTTTACGCAGCTTTCATAGTTTTATAACCTCAAAAATAGCTGAACATCAATAATTTTTTTAATGTTTCGTGTGCTTTTATTATTTCTAAAACCATAAGTAATTAGATTTCTAAGAGAACTTACTGTTAGTTTATAGCATCCTGCAATGCTTATAAGGTATTTCTCCTACTTCCCTAGCGTGCCTTCATGGTGTACCGGTAGCACGCTGGGCCGGTATTCCAAAGGTCGGTGGTTCGATTCCTGGCGAAGGCGGTTGTTAATTTTTCGTCTCTCTTGCCTCTCAAAAAATCCTAATGACTCTACAAGTGGCGCCCGAACTAAAAAGGGTTGTGAATGATGATTCTCTACACCCAGGATTTGGCGACTAGGTCCAATAAAAACCTAGTCGCCCTTTAAAAAGGGAAGTATATAAGGTATTTCTCCTACTTCCCTTCGTGCCTTCGTGGTGTAACGGTAGCACACTGGGCCGGTATTCCAGAGGTCCGTGGTTCGATTCCCGGCGAAGTAGGTTGCTAATTTTTCATCTTGTCTGCTTCCAAGTAACCTAATGTCGCCTACAAGTGGCCGCCCGAACTAAAAGGGTTGTGGATGATGATTCTCCGCACCCAGGATTTGGCGACTCGGTTCCTAAAACCCTAGACGCCCTTTAAAAAGAGGAGTATATAAGGCATTTCTCCCACTTCCGTAGCATGCCTTCGTGGTGTAACGGTAGCACGCTGACCCAGTATTCCAGAGTCCGTGGTTCGATTCCCGGCGAAGGCGGTTGCATATTTTTCATCTTATCTGCTTCCAATTAACCTAATGACTCTACATGCTCACTTCAGATATGGAATTGTTAATAAAATTTACTACAGAAGCAATAATTTCCAAGTTACAAACAGTATATTCTGTGATATACTTTCATTTAAAGCAAAAAAAAAAAAAAAAAAAAAAAGATCTTGACACTTTATCAGCCAAAACATTTCAAGAAAAGTTTCGAGTGTTCAATTATTGTGCGATTTACTGGTTCTGAATAGTAAATTATTTTATTACAAGGTATTTTAATTATATTTTATTGTAACACGTAAGAAGTGAAATAGCGAAAAAATAATATAGTTTTAAAAAAGTTAGAGTCTGTGTTTACAAATTTTGTAGAAGATTTAAAGGAACGTAAGTGTCTGAAAACAATAAATGAAAAGAAACGCAAGAGTGAAAAAACAAATGTCAGCCACTGTACAGGAAAAAGGAATCAAAAGAAGATAAATAAATAAATAAAATCAACGAAAAGGCATAATTTTGCACCTTGAAAAAAGAAGCTTCATGCTAGGTCATTAAAATTATCATTCATTTTCAGTTTTGCCTAATTTTGAGTTTAAATTCCATCACTTATTGAAAAATGTCTATAACAGTAACAGTGGGACTACCAGCAGCCGAGCGGTAAAAGCCGCTGGACACTGGTACTTCGGTCCGAGACTCGAGTCCCGGCGAACGGGTTGGCTGCATGGTGCTTTACCGATGTACGACGCGGGTACGAGACCTTAAAAAGACCTCCACGGTGCATCCCTCCCTTTCGTGTAGTGTCTAAAGGCAGAGCAGCTAATAAGTAATGGGGGAAAACAATAATAGAGAATAAAAAGCTTCAATTTTGGCTGATTTTAAACACAAAAATGTCTGTTTTTACCTGAGAAATAACTAAAATAGTAAGTAGATATTTAAGAAATTAATGTTATTTAAAATTATTAATTTCATATGGCTTTAGTAAATAAATGAGTAACGACAATAAGTTCAAATGTATCTTTTATGACTTCAAATTATCCACTTGCTAATATTTAGTACTTAAATGGTGAGTTTTGTAATAATTTTGTTAATAAGTTTTGTACCTTTTTTTACTTTAAACTATTAATCTGTTAATATTTCAAAAAGAAGGTAATTTAAAATTCATTAAATACTGTTTTTTTTTTTTTTTTTTTTTTTTTTTTTTTTTTGTTTTGTTTTGTTTTAGTAATAAGATATGAGAAAATCGTTTTACAGATTTCTTTATTTATTTGCTCAGACGCAGTTATGAATTTTAAATTTCGAAATATCATAAAACTTGGGAAGAAAGCTTCATAGATCGATAAGAATTTATATACAAAATTTCTTCCATCTAAATTTAAGTAAATAATATCTTTATGCCTTTATTTAGCTTAAAACAGACCACCCAACAGTTATTAAAACCCAACAGTTTATGAAAACTATCAGTTACACCAATTTTCAAATATTTTTTTAATTTTCTTATTAGTTATGCATTAGTTACCCATTTTTAAACTGAAACTAAAACTTAGTATTTTGGTAAATAAAAAAAATTCTCCGTCACTTTTTATTATGCTCAGGATGAAAACAATTTTTGCAAAATAACTAAAATCTCATGGGCAAGAAATAAAAAATTCTCAATGGTCAAACCTTTTTTTCAGCTGAAAGTATCTGGATAAAGTACGAGGGCAATCCCAAAAAAAAAGGTCTCCTATTTTTTGGGGACGTAGAGAAAGTTTTAATACGGTTGTTGGCAACACTGTTGTGAGTGGTGCTTTCTCCACTACCACATAAGCACGCAGGCGCTTCGCTCGGATGCTCAGTCTTGGCTTGGCAGCCATTTGAAATGGAGCTCCCGACAAACGTTACCGCCAAGTGCGAAGTGCGCGCAGTTATTCGATTTTTGAACGCAAAAGGCGTTAAACCAGTTGAAATTCACCGCCTATTGACGGAAGTGTATGGACAGTCGTGCATGGATGTCAAAAACGTTCGCAAGTGGCGTAGAGAGTTTACAGCCGGTCGTACTGAAATTCATGACGAAGAAAGAAGCGGGAGGCCGTCAATTGCCGACGAGACAATCGCGAAAGTTGAGGAACTCATGCGTAAAATTCGGAGGATCACTCTGGATGCTCTCTGCATTTTGGTTCCTGAGGTTTCCAGAAGCACCATCCACAGGATTTTAACGGAAAAGTTGCAATATCGGAAGGTGTGTGCAAGATGGGTGCCGCGTATGCTGACAGAAGACTACAAACGGCAACGGGCACCCAGCGATTTCCACCTGTTCCCTAAGGAACATTTGTCTGGACGACAGTCACCGATGATGAGGTGAAAGATGAGGTTCAACGCTTCCTGAAAAGCATGGCGGCAAGCTGGTATGACATGGGCATTGTAAAACTGCCACAGCGTCTACAAAAATGCATCGAATGAAATGGCGATTATGTTGAAAAATAAAGCATTCTTCAATCTTTAAAGTGATGTAGCAATTATAGAAAATAAACGGTTCTTTGTACATCTAAAAATATAGGAGACCTTTTTTTGGGATTGCCCTCGTAACATCCTGTAAACATGTAAAAGAAAACCTGATCAAATTAGCAACTTTAATGCATTTGCAAAGCTCCTTGCGGGATTATAATGAGAATAAGGATTAATAACAATGAAGCACTCACTTTTGTACTGTTATTATGCACAAAAAAGATTTTATTTTCCTAAGATACATTAACAAACAAATAAAACAATACATCAATTAAAAAAGAATACAAAGATTTTTAAAAAATGAGCATTGTACAAATGGGTGAATAACAGAACCGTATAAGGAAAACAAAACTTTTGACAACCCGTAAAATGTTTATGTTTACAAATTTTTATACAGAAATAGTAAGCTACAACTTTCAATAAGCATGCCAATGTCCACACTGGCCTTCGCTTTTAAATATAATATTGAGTATTGATGCATGTCTTACAGTTTTTAAATTATCTCTAATAAAAATTTGACAATAATTACCAATTAAAAATCGTATTTACATTTTTTTACCTAATTCAAATTCTATGTGCGTCTCCTGGCAGCGATGAGACATTTTGCACATAATAAATCAATCCCAAATTTTTCTTGTTTTCTAAAATTAGATCTTCGATCTCATACATCACAATATACCTACAATGCTAACGAGAGCAAATTAATAATATCAGAATAATATGATTTTATAAAGTTTTATTTCGAAAACACAAGCAATTTGGGTATATTTAATTTATATTGAAAAATTCCTCTTCTTATACTTCAAACGGTATGATGTTAGCAGAATTTACTTATGATGCTTCACATATTTTTTCATACATACGATCCATTCATACACACATCGATGTATGCATTTAAAACTCTCACACTAATTTTAACATTTTACAATAATATTGTAATATACGAAAATGAAAACCATTTTAAAATATGTGTTTCTAAATTACATTTACTACTTCAATTTCTCTCTCGATTTAATAATTTGAATTTTTGGACAATGTATGTTTTGGCGGGAAAAAAATTGAGTTTTCTTAGCTTATATTTCTTTAAATGCTTAATATAATTTTCTGTCTTAATTCAATCACACGAATGAAATTTTTCTTGCCTTTGAAACAGAATCAGTCTAACACAATGAAAGAGAATTTAATTACAGTGAATGAGAAGAAGTAGCGAGGAAAGATTTAGATTAGTATTAAAGATTAGGATTCAGATTAGGAATAAAGGTTGCAGCAGTTCTTGTTGAAATTTATGAAACATGCCATTGATCAGTCCCCTTTACTTTCTTTTGACACAGAATAAGTTTTTGATTTTGTTTATCATGCTGCATTTTAGCTCTATAGCAAATGTAATATCGCAGTGTTTCTGCTGTACGATCATACTACTCAAAATTTAAAATGCTAAAGTTCTGTACTGGATTTATTGGATTATGACATTGTCAGTCTAAAGGAAGCGACCTCCAATATCCCATTTATTCATGTTTAGCATAAATTAGGGTTAGAGATCTCAGGTACCTTTAAATTTTACACCCTAACTCAAATCTTGCTCGATATTGCACTTGCATGTTTTTTGACATAGTCGTTCACCTGCTGACATATCCAATACATATCGCAAATATAATCAAAATCTTGTTCTATTGAATCATCTGATAAAGATCATTTAACATTATACTCCCGTTTTCTATCAAACTTCTGATTTTACATACGTCTCAGCTAAACGTATATTTCTCGACAGCGAAAGTATTACATTTTACGCCCGTTTGGTTCATCGTTCAAAACATATTTACATTTTTAATTCATTCTCGTTATCATCAAGGGTTTGAACATCTATTTACATACGTGTATTGATAGTTTACAAATATATTCTACAGGATCAGAGAATTATGTACAGAGGAATTCGAGAACAAAATCTCGAAAATGGCAAATGTAAGTTTAAATGTTCCTAAAATGATTTTCACCACCAATCGGCACCGCCACCGTAACCACCAGCACCACCTCCGTAGCCACCAGCACCACCTCCAAGATGGCCGCCTTGCTCGTAACCGTATCCAATTTCAGCATGGGTGTGGTGATGAACTCTGAAAAAATAGTGATATATTTCATTTACTATTTTGTTAAATACTTGCATTCAGCGACAGTAATCTACAAAAAACGTAATATTGTAAATAGTAAATATTATCTGTAAAAATCATGGATTTTCTATAGAATTTAATATATAGAAGTAAACACATTTACTAATTTCGTAACCACTGTTTCCGTGAGTGTTGTACGTGAACCTTACGGTACCACGTACGAATTCCCATAGCACTCAATCATGTATTTCATGGGAATCTTACTACAGAAATTGGGAAAACAGTTTGATCTCAGCGTATTGTCATATAATACTCTACTGTAAAAGACTGTGAGAATAAAAGTATAAAATTAAGGAACTGCATTCATGTCCATAAATTAAGGATAATTCGGAAATCGAACTCTAAAATAAATATATCACCTGTAAAATCACTACACACATCATCAAGAATCATATGCAAATTTCAGGAAGTAACCAGATGACACCGATGGTACATCACAATGACGAGAGTGTAAGAGAGTGATATATAAGGAATACAGGCAAAGAAGTAAAATTGTTCGCAGACGCTTTATAAGCATTTCAGTGCAATAACCGAATAGTTATGACCCAAAGGACGCATTTGGATGATTTTTTACGTGGTACAATTATCGGCCGTCTGGAATGTGGGCGTACCCAACTGGAAGTATCAGACGAACTTGGAATTGCCCAGAGTGTCATCTCCAGGCTTTGGCATCGATTCCAAGATGATGGTAATGTGAGTAGACGTTACAGCACAGGTCGCCACAGAGTTACAACGCCGAATGAGGACCGGTATTTGGCAGTTACTGCCAAAAGAAACAGGCGGACACAGCCTCAGAACCGGTCTCGCCCAGCTCTCTTCAGCCACGGGTACGACAATTTCAAGGCAGACCGTGTACAGACGCTTAGGGGCAGATTGGTCTATATGCTCGTAGACCTGTCAGATGCGTTCCACTTACTGCAACTCACTGTCGCCTGCGGTTAGCCTGGAGTAGAGAGCATGCATTGTAGAACCGCAACAGTGGGCTTGTGTGATGTTTTCCAACGAGTCCAGGTTTAGCTTGCAGTCTGATTCTCGCCGGACTTTCATATCGAGAGCTTTAGGTACCCGTTACCCCCACGAAAACATCATTGAACGACACCGTTACGGTTGTGCAGGAGTGCTCGTTTGGGGTGGAATTATTCTGGGTTCCAGAACTGACCTGCATGTTCAAATTGGAACCATGACAAGCCAAATCTATCGGGACGTCATTCTGGAACAACGTGTACGTTTGTTTCGGGGCGCCATGGGCGCACAATTTGTGTTTATGGATGACAACGCCCGTGCAAACATCGTAAGCCAATGCCTTCAATAGGAGGATATCACCCGTATGGACTGGCCAGCATTCTCACCGGACTTGAATCCAGTAGAGCACGTGTGGAACATGCTTGGCCGACGAGTTGCAGACCGTCAACCTCCTCTTACATGTCTACCGGAACTTCGGAGAGCATTGCTTTTTGAGTGGTGTAATATCCCCCAATACAGATCCATAATTTGATATTCAGCATGCCTAGGCGTTGTACGGACTGTATTGCATCGTCTGGGAGGCATACAATGTATTAACAATCATACCAACCATGTAATATTGGTTTCTTGTAAATAGGTTTTTTTTTTTTTTTTTTTTTTGTAATTTGCTCCAGGGAGAAAAAATCGCTAATTTTTTAATAATATCAAATATATAGCATCTTTTTTTGCTCTTTACCTTTTGTTTAATAAATACGCTTTACAAATAAGTCAAATTTGGTTTTCTTCTAACTCTTCCTTGCCTGATTTTGCATTATCCTTAATTTATGGACATGAGTGTATTTTACTTTTCGGCATTACTATAGTTTGTTAGGATAATTAATAGGCAAATTAATCCCCCTTCTCGCAGTTGCGATCAAAAGTCGTATCTTTATCGCCGCACCGCAATTACCTATTTTTAAAATTATATGACCGCGTAACTGTCATCACTCAAGAAAATAAAGGATGTTCCTTCTCAGACATTTAACGGAAGAAATTATTCAGTTTACTAGCTCCATTAAAAATTCCAAAAGCTCGGATAGTATTTCTTATTAGTCTCAATAACCGTCTTGGTAAAATCCTCTGTATATGTTGAAAGTGTCCATCTGGTATTGATCTCATTAGTGAATGCTAAAAAAATTGTTTTGTGATTCTGTTCATTTCGGTAAGAATTTTGTGGCGTAAGTCTTTTAGTTTTATGCATTAGTTTAGCGTAATCTTGGAATGCGAAAATTTCACTTAAGAAAATGTAAGATACAAAATAGAGAGTATTTGGAAAACATTTGTAGAGGAAACATTGGTCATCTCCCTATTGTCCAATAAAGTTGCAACCATGATTCTGTGGGCATAAGCAAAACAAGCAAGTTTCCTCTTACTGATTTGTTCTTTTAAATAATAATCCTATAGTACATCTGGATATTTAAACACATCATTTTTTATCTAATATTACATTTTACATTTAATGCGTGTCGACACCAATAAAGACAAATAAAATTCGTAAGGTTGGCTTTAAAATTTCAGATTTGTTTCTAAAACTAGCATAAACATTTTGTCATTCAAGTTTAATACTACGATCAATTATTACTAATGGTTTTGTAACAATGCATCTAACAGAACACACGCTGTGTTTTTTTTATTATTATTTTAAATTAGTTCATGTTTTTCTATATTCTTTCACTTTTTTTGAGGTGGGAAAGAAGTAAATATAAAATAACTGTTGCCGCGCATTCGTGTATAAATTCATTGCTTTTAAATTGATAAAGAAACCGAAATTTATTCAAGTGATATATGAAGTATTTTCGACCTCGTTACCGCATGCCTTCGAGGTATAACTGGAAAGCACGTTCGACTACCAATCGGGAGGTCCGGTGTTCAGACCAGACCTCCCGGAGAGAAAGTTGTACATTTTTCCTGTTTCCTGCATCGATAAAACCAGATGACTCTACAGGTGTTTAAAGGTTCCTTTAGATTTAGTGCATTAAAAGTGTATGTTTTATTACCAGTGCTTATTTAGCTGTCTTTCTCTGCTAAATACGCTTGCATTAAATCTCGAAAACAGTATTTTGAAATCTGTTATCTTTTGTAAAATTTCCGAGCATATTTTTTTGTGATAACAATATAACACTACGAAAACTTTTATTTTAATACAAAAGATATTTTTCATTTAATTTTCAATTTTTCTCACAGATGCTTACGTAAAAACCAAAATAAATAGACTAAATTCCAATCTTTGCAATCTTGTAGATCTTTCGGAGCTACGAAACTTTGCAGATTTTTGTAAATTTTCCAAATAAATTTTTTTTGTAATATCGAATTTTGGAGGATTGTTCAAATAACTGCTCGAATTTTTTGTCATTGTGCAATACTTAATATTGAGGGATTCTTAAATCAAATCATTTCCACCTTCACTTTTATTCATCTTTACATAAAGATAGCTTGAGTTCGAATACCTAAGTGTAGCTTTAGCTTAGGATACTACGTAATGATGAAACTGAATTTTTGATTTCACTAATTATAGATGGATTGTGTAAGAAGTGACACATAAAATAATGATTACATTTAAATCTTCAAATTTATCTTTGATAATTTTGGTTTATAATCTGCAACTGTTAGCAGTCCTGCGATTTTACTGTTAGTCTCGTACGTCAAGTAATATTACAGAAACCAAACTTTTTTTCACTTTTAATTGCACTTAATTAAAACAAAATAAGTTAAAAAGTTTTTTACATATGTAAATAACTTTAATCAGTCTAATGATGAAGGGCAAGCTCATATATTGTACTATTTCTCTCGCAAATATGCATAACTTGTTAAAAATAGTAGTGCAGTATTTACTGTGTTTTTAAGATATGACTTATGAACCTTTATACACATTATTAATTTATTTATTTTAATATAATGAGTACATTTTTCATTAAAGATTTTTTTCTTTTTGGAGTACTTAATTAAGAACGGAATAATTAATTTCAATATTGAACTGGAGGGTTAATTTCTGATAATGCCATAGATTGCACTATATGAAACACCAAAAAAATATAGCCTTGTGTAATCGACTGCCTCATTTATCATGAAACATCATCTACAAAAGGTAAGAAATTTCCTCTCGATTTAACACTTCATTACTTTTTCAAGACAAGATGTACTTAAAAATTCCTTTCTTATTTACCTGTATTTCTTTGAAATATGATTTGGAACTCAATCTTAGTTAATAATGCTACAAAATTATTTACTACATTTTAATATAGTAAAAATATGAATCCGCAAATAATAAGCTAATTATGAAAGATTACATGAACATGATCTATTTTGGAAATTGCATGAATTTCATGCTGTTTTGGAAATGAATGACCCTATTTATGATAAAAAATTCAGCTAAATTTATTCTTCAGCTAATCTTTCGAAAATATGAATAAAAATCTTAACATTCTCATTAGCTAATCTAAAACGGATTATCACTCCTCGGTGATTTTACGTTTGACTACCGGGAGACACTCCTTGCAAAATTTTTTATCAAATTGCATTTAAAAAAACATTTTCTTAATTAGCCTTTATTGGAAACACAATATTCTACGATTTGTAATGAATTAATACTATTTATGGGGAAAGTATCAAAAACATTCAGGGCAAAATATTTTCTGAAGAATTTTTATGTATAAAAGTTATGCGTTTGATTTACGGCAGTTTATTTTTTAATATTTAAGTTGTACTTAGAGAATATTAATGGTATCCGATTTTTTTCCTTAGTTCTGCCAAATAAAGTAAATGTTTCTATTTTTAAAATGCATGCATATTTAGCACTGAAAATGTTACCTGTTAAAGTAAGTTTCGAATCTTATATCACAATAACTACTAATTGATCAAATAATTTGAGCTGAAACGAAATAAGTTTGAAGGTTACAGCCTTATGTTGTAGAGTCATTAGGTTTTCTGAAGTAGGAAACACGAATGAGCAATGCTCTCTTCGGGACTCGAACCTGGACCTCTCGAATACTCGCCGAATGTGCTACCGTTACACCACGAAGGCATGCAGAAAGATAGGAGATAATACCTTATCCCTTTTAATAGGCGACTGGGAATTAGGAGACGCAATCGCTAAATCCTAGTGGTGAAGAATCATCATCCACCACCTTTTAGTTCGGGCGCCACTGCAGAGTCATTAGATTTTTTTAAAGCATGAGACATTAAAAATGAGCAAAGCTTCCCCAGGACTCGAACCTGGACCTTTCGAATATGCACCGAGTGTGCTATCGTTATACCACGAAATGCCTTATGATAATAAGCTAAAAGTCGTTACAGCCTCATAATAACGTCACTGATACTGATGGGAAAATTCTACTATGTATAAAAATACTTAAGAGTTCTTTAAAAATATTATTCTGTGCTTTTTCTTTAAATCTAATTTTAATATGCATGCGTTAGTTATTTAGTTCACCTAACTATAAATCCTAAATGCAGGATGACGGGTTGCTCTCTTTAACCCTCTAAGCGGCAAGGCCGTATATATATACGGCCTAGAATATTTATTGTGATATTTGTAAGAACGTATATATACGTGCATATTAAAATATGTCAACGAAATTAAGGCAGTATATCAAAAGAAAACAAAATATAGGTATGAAATACCAGTAGAGTTTTTACATTAAAATCAAAAAAATAATTTGTTCTCATAGTAGTTTTGGAAAATTTGTGCTTTCTTAGCGAAAACCCTGGCCGCCCAGAGGAGTATATGAAGATACGAATCAAATTATAGCAAACTTTCGAACAGGGTTCTGTACTCACGAGAGTCATCCTGAATCAATAAACTCTTTCAAAAGCAAAGACGTACTGAGTGGAAATGAAACGCAGGCTGTGATGAAATGTTAGTTTTTAAAACAATATTTTTGATTATTAATCTTATTCATGAAAAAGGATATCTCGGATAGCTGACTATTCTAGCCAGGTGAATATTATGTTCAACCCAGTGCTACATCTCTTTATTTCAAAGCCTTACACCGATTCTTCAAAGGTTAGGCATTCGTATTCTAATTTTCTATAGATTAGACGCAATGAAATAAGAATTTTCGGTACAATGCTTTGATTTATTTCTTTGTACCTTCTCTTGAAAGTGATTTTAATTATTACGTTATTATTCGAGATATTTTGTTTTGCTTAAATTAGAAATTTACACAAGCAGAGATACCTAGAAACAAATAGCATTAAATAAAGCACAGTTGTAATTTGTAAATTATTTTTGAGCATTAACATTTTTAAGCACGATTACGTTAAAAATTTAAAAGTTAGTATCTGAAGTTAATTTATTAGTTCGAACAATAATAATTATTAATAATTATTGTAAAAAACTTTTTAACTTATTTTGTTTTAATTAAGTGCAATTAAAAGTGAAAAAAAGTTTGGTTTCTGTAATATTACTTGACGTACGAGACTAACAGTAAAATCGCAGGACTGCTAACAGTTGCAGATTGTAAACCAAAATTATCAAAGATAAATTCGATAATAGCGAAAAAAAGTAACTTATTTAAAAATTTTTCTTATGGAGTTTGTGATTAATTAACTGGCATGAATCCTTTCACTTGTACATATATGTGCTTTTCAAACTGACTACCTTAATCAAGAAAAAATAATGTTTAAATACTTGAAGAAAGGTTAATTGCATCTTAAACGAATTAATCAATTAGTTATTGCCATTGAACCTTTATGCTTGTTTCGTAGCACTTAAATCTTCCTTTAGTGTTTTTCCAATAAATATTTAAACATTTTATTGTTCTTTGCCTTTTTTTTTCGTTTCAAAGTAATGGATTAGAAAGTAAGAAAATAAAAGTATAGCAAATCAAACTTAGTTCTTATTCGCGACAAAGTTAATTTGATGCAACAAATGAATATTATTATTCATCATTTTTAAGACAAAATTATATTTAAAATTAATTAATTAATCAATCTACGTTAAACTCTTATTTTTTTCCATTTCACTCTTTAATAACGCATTTTGAAAAATAAGCTTTTAACCATTTATTTCATCGTGCTCTGTTTAGAAGAAATTGATTATAAAACAAAAGATATAAAGGAACTTTTATATGAATAATATTATATAAAAACATTTATTTGCTATTGAATATTTACTATATTATTGCGAAAAAGAAATTCTGAACAACTTTTAAGCGTAATTTATGTCTAATTGCTGTACTTCCCCAATGTAAAATAAACGTGCAAACAATATAATTCAATTTCTAACATTTTTGCTTTTTTTCTATAAATCCATTTAGTTTAACTTACTTATATTCTATATTTATATGTCTATTGTTTCGAAATGAAACCTAAGGAACAAAAATATTTTTTCAACAATTGAATTAATTAACTTTCTATAAAAAAGACATTGTTTCTTCTTTCGCGATTACTTTCTCTTTCCCATTGTTTCTAAGAAAAATCCTAAGCATAAATTATCTTGTACTTCCCTTAATTATCCTTTAATTTCGACACTAAAAGAGTTAATTATCATTATAAAATATCTTTGTTCTGTATCACTTTCCCTAGCGTTAAAAAATATTAATCAAATATTTTATTTTCGGTTACAATCAAGTCATGCCTTTCGACTGATTATCTGCTTCAATCTACAAAATCTCTATATCGGAACAACTTCCTCATTCTTATTGTTAACGTACACATAATCACTTGTGAGTGGTCACAAGGAAATAACTGTCTTCTTACTTCCCGGTTATAATTAGAAATTGTTACTCACGGATAGGGTTTGTGATGGATATTCTCTTGGAAAATAGGTATTGGCAGAGGTAAAGGAAGAGGCAGAAAGATCTTCTTTCCTGTTAAGGCTTTGGCTATTAACCCATACTTGACCAACCTCTTGAGCTTTAGTGAACCACCAGCTTCTGATTGCTGCAGTACAACGGCCGTCATGACTAAGCAGATGGCTAACATAATGTAGGCTTTCATCTTGCTAAGGACCTGCAGGAAAAGAAATGAGATCACTGGAATTAATTCCTATGTCTATATTGTGAGCTATTTCATAAATAGTTTGTCCTTATCTACATAAAGATACTTGCAATAAAGTATCTTTATGTAGATAAGTTGTAACGAATAGTGTATTCTTACGTGGATAGATCATAGCTAGAACTTTAATAGTACTTTTTTTTTTTTTTTTTTTTTTTTTTTCATACTACCTAAAAGAAGAAGGCGGTATTTTAAATGTGATGCAAATTTATAAGCCATTCCTCTGCGTAGACTTTAACGCTCATAAACCTTATGAGCCATAAGATAACAGTTACAATAACATGAAAATATCCTAACACTCTAAATACGGATAATTTAAAAACTGAAACTTTTTAACAAAATCTGATATGACGGAATTTTTTAAGGGGCAATGGGCCCAGAAGGACTTAATTTCGTTTTGGTATTTTACGTTGATTCACTATAAATGTGAGTTTTCTTTTCAAATTGTTGCTTTGAATAACGTAAGCCTTCCGCGAATATGGTCGTCTTTGGAATTTGTTTTATTATCGATTTCGTATTTTTTTAAACATTAAAGAATTTTTGTTAATAAACTGAACGATTTAAAATCGAGCAAAAGCAAAACTGTACGAAAAAAATATTTTTATCTCCAGCGCGCAAGACTGTGTATCGGTAATTCTAAAGATACGCTCATTTTAAAATTATTTTGCGATATGGGTGTTGAATTGAATTTTATAGTTTAAGTGCGAAGAACACGTTATGATATTTTAGAAATGTAACGCACAAAATGTGAAGAAAAACGCTCCTTTGGGCATAATGTAAAATCTGAAAGCCTTTCATATTTTTATATATAGTAAACTCGGAATATCTGAATTCCAGTCACTCAGAATTTCTATTATCTGGATCGCTCGTTATTCTTTCCAGCCAATTTAATTGTTTTAATCAATAAAATCTGGACTGTTTTAATCAGTAAAATCTGGACTTTTACTGATTAATTGTTTTACAATTAATCAGTAAAAGTCCAGATTTTACTGATTAATTTATTTATTTTAAAATTTCCCTTCATTTGTGTGTAATGGAAGAAAATAATTTATCATTGTTTTATTTCAAGTTATGTTTTTTCTTGAAGATTGACGAAGTAATGTCAAATTAAAATTGACTACGAACAGAGTTGCATTTGCCAAGCAGAAAGTGATTTCGTCGTGTTTCAATTTAAAGTAAAAACATGTCAAACAAAATTATGTATTTAGTTTGACAGTCTGCGTAACTAAAAATGTATTTCATTCTTTTATTTTAGTTGAAATGTCGAATAATATTTCTTGATTTTATCCGAAACATTTTAGCTATATAATCTTTGCCAAAATAAAATACGATAAAAAAGTGTAATTCTCTGACTTGCATTCTCTGACTTGTATTCTTGTGAATATATATATATATATCATTTATAGAAAGAAACCTGACAATCAAATTATTAAAATTAGTTGGTTTCCTGGAGAAAATGTAGTCCCAATTATTCTAGATAACTAGACTTTTACTGTATATATGGTTTCTCGTTCTTAGTAGAAAACTCTGTGCTAATGCTTACATGGCCTTTCAGGAATGAATGCATTTCCGTAATAATTAATATCTCGTGATATAAGCTGTACTCCAGATATTAAAATTCCTCTGACATCGCCTAGTGAGGAATTAACTTTTAATTTAAATAGTTAATTAATAGTTTATTTGAATGCTTTCTGACGTATTCATTTCAATTAACTTAAAAGGTACCACGTACCCCTTCAAATATGTACAAACTGAGTGATGAGCAATAATATACTACTCTTTTCTACGACATAAATTTGTTTACAGATCAACTCATGTAGTAGTTTGTACAAATAAATTATAAAATGTGAAAAAATATTAAAAAACATTTTAAAGATGCTTCCGACTGTAAATATTAAGATTAGATTAGGTTATTTGATCAAGAGAAAGCAACTCGAAGGCTATTTGCATATAAGGAAGGACGTCTTCGTGGAGGGCTTTTTAAGGAAAACTGGCTTGTACCAGCGTTGCACATGAGGAAAACCACGAAAGTAACCACGCAGCCAACCCGTTCGCCCCTCAACGGCAGATAGTCCTCCTGTGCTTTGTCGCATTCAGATAACCTAACCGAGCATAATTTAATTCTTTACTATCGCGCTCACTTTTGAACTAGTTAAATAACGAGTTAAGTAAAGAAGAGTTTAAGAGAACTTTATTTGGTTGTTTAAATGTGACCATGTTAATTCTATCTGCCTAAATATAAAGTGTGTGTGTGTGTAATTATGGCAAAGCCTCAAGGGCTATCTGCCTAAGGGGAGGGATGCCTTCGTGGAGGACTTTCTAAGGGTGGTGTATGGTGTATTTAATTATGGCAAAGCACACTAGGTTTATCTGCCTAAGGGGAGGGATGCCTTTCGTGGAGGACTTTCTAAGGGAAACTGGCTCGTATACACGTTACACATGGGGAAAACCACGAAAACGCCCATGCAGCCAGCCCGTTCGCGGGATTCGAACCTCGGACCGAACTACCAGTGTTCAGCGACTTTACCGCTCGGCCGCTGGTGGGCCCTGGACTTTCTAAGGGAAACTGGCTCGTATACACGTTACACATGGGGAAAAACCACGAAAAACGCCCATGCAGCCAGCCCGTTCGCGGGATTCGAACCTCGGACCGAACTACCAGTGTTCAGCGGCTTTACCGCTCGGCCGCTGGTGGGCCCTAAATATAAAGAGTGGCCATACTTGCCGATAACATATACAGAGGCATCGGAATTTGAACCCGGGTCGCAGTACCAATGTTTAACAGCCTTAATCCACTCCGCCGCTGATGGGCTTGGAAGTTGAAGGTGCTATTAAGTTAATATATTTGTTCAGCCTTCAGTATGAAAGTTAGCTTTTAAGGAACTTAAATTATTTTTGCATCATTATGCTTTGAAAAGAGAGTTATATTAAGTAAAAGATTCTGCCCAAGAAAAGTTTAATCTGCTGGAATTTTATAAGCGTAGCCAACTGAAAGTATTTATGTTCTTAATCGGGAAGCAGTCGATGTTAATTTTATAACTTCCTATCAAAAAAAGCGTAATTTAATAAATTTGACTTGCGACACTCCATCCTTCGTTTCTTTTAAAACGATGATTTATGCACCTAGTCAAGCCAGTATACTTACCACGATATATATAAGGGGACTAGAATGTTACTGGGAAATAGTTACCTAAAAATTAACAAGGACTCAAGTTGATTATACCTTAACTAGAGGTTTAAGTTAAATAGAACAAGTATTTCAATTAGAGAGGGAAACTTGTAATAATGAAAGCCCATTTGGTTTTAAATAAAAGACACTAAATAGTCATACAAAAACATTCGTTTACTCATCCAAATAAAGAAAAGACTTAGCATGATACAGCTAGAAATGTACGAGTATTTATATACCTGCATTAGATCATTAAAAAAGCGTATTTATTTAATTGCTAATTTATACAACGTTGCATGGTTTATACGATTTCAAAATGCAATATATTATTTTCGGAAATGCCCTTAAATTTGTAAAAGTTTCAAAATAATATTCGAAGAATTTTTCGAGAGAACGCACTTAAAATTCAATCATTTGAAAGGAGACTTCTTTCTGAAATTCGAGTTCTAAAAAGTAATAATTCATAAGCAAGTAAATAGGTAAATAAGTAACAAAAGCACTTTTTATTATTAATGCACACAGGCAATTTTTTCATAATATTTACAAGATATAATCCATTGCAATTAAATTAAATATTTAAATTAAACGCATTCGTAACTCTCAGTTGTTAAATTAATAAGTAAATAGTAATAAAAACTATTTAATTAAGCACGTGAAACACAACATAATTCATCCTCATTTTGAAAGAGTTTAAAGACGATTCTCTAGATAAGTATATGTTTTACTGCCAGAAAGAAAATTAAAAACTATAGAACCATGCACATAGATGCTAATTTCGTGAAGAATTCGCTGCTGGTTATTTTAAGCTGTTTTAAAATTTGACAGCCGAGCAATTAACGCAAAACTTGTGCAAATAATTATTTAAGTAGTAATTTTTGCCTTAGTTAAATATGCTCAAGGGCGCACTCGACAAAAAATGTGTTTAACACAATATTAGTATTATCCATGTATGTGTGAGAAGTATATTGAACAGGGTAATACGAAATAAAAGTTTCAATTCGTTAATAGAGTTACTTATATCTATCACAGTTTTTCGCCATAATGTTTTTTAAAAAAATAAATATCAAAGGTAATTTAAGTTTGTTTTATACAACCGCATTTTTGCTCTGATTTCGGTAGCAGAAAATTTAGCGTAAATTTAAATTCAGTTTCAGTTTAGAAAGCTTCCCGAAAAAGCATTCTTACGAAGATGAACTAGTGCTTAAGTGTTTTTTCGTAAAAAAAAAAAAAAAATTACTCTTATTAACACAGTGCGTTCGTAAAATAGTCGTAAAAGGCTATTTTGTTACAAATATTAATAATAATAATAATGTTCCAATCGAAACCACAGCCTATCTCTGTTTAAAATGTGTAAATACAAAAACTAAGCTACATTTGCTTTTTTTTTTATGCTTGTTTATTTACCGTGCTGACTTTTAAATGCTTTGTACCTGGAAGAATTTTGTATACGAATTTCTTTAATTTTTTATTTTCGGTTTCGAAGTTTTAAAATCAGTTGACCTGAAATTTATTCATTTCATACGGCATTTAAATTTTTTAAATAATATATTTGGTTAAAAGATAAAAAAAGTAAACAGAATCATCACCCGAAATCATCAGCAATAAAAACGCCTTTGTATTTTATGTCATTTTAGCCCCATAGGACGTTAGCCCGAATAGGCTATTCATTTCGAAACGGTATTTTGCGTCGCCCAACTATACGCGGCGAATCACTTTTCAAATTGTTGCCACCAAACACTATCACTCTGTATTATCTTTAAAAAAATTAAATTATGAAGAATTGGCATTCATGTATGTATGTTTCTCCCACTACGAAAAAAATGCCGGAAACTCTGAAGTTTGAATTTCGAATATGTTTTACTATCTGTTTTATATTTTGTAAAGCTTAAATGAATTTTTCATTAACAACTTCACCGATTTGAAAGCGAACAGTGGTAACACTGTCCGAAATAAAACACTCTTATCTTCGGCGCACGAAACTTTATCGAAAATTTTAAAGATATGTTGTTTTTAAATATTTTGTGATTTTGCTATTCAACTGAATTTTATGTGACATAAGAAGAAGAGCCTGATATTTAATTAATAAATTTAACATACAAAACATTAATATTAAAAAGACAAAAAAGTTTCGTAAAGCCATGATAGAAAGAAAACTGAACACATATAATAAACTGATAAAAGAGTGAAAAGAATAAAAAAATATATACCAACACTTAACACGCGTCCGGTATTTTAAACGTATGCTGCTTTTAAAATTTTTATAATTTTGTTGTTAAATTGTGTATGGCATAGGTGCAAATAAAATGATGCTAATAATAAAGCTAAAAAGACAAAAAGAAATGGGCTAGCAGGAGTAAGTTCAGCAACAGACTGGTAGACTGCGAGCTCAGCGAGAGACTAAAAAACCTTAACAAACTCTTTTTGGATAACCTTTAAAATCTGAATTCTTTCAAATTCTAAAAATCAAAATTCTTTCAAATTGTTTTTTAATAATTTAAATAATGAAAGAACATTTTGTGTTCAAAAGCTTACATATCTTTTTCAGTATGATTTTAAGGAAATAAATTTTAGTGGCATAAACTCAGAATGATACATTATATACAGTTACTTACCTTTTCAGTTATACTATTGCCTTCTGATTTAACTGAATAAAAATCTATATATCTACTTGAAAATTATTAAAATTCAATGTTTATTGATAAGCGATTTCAATAGAAAAAATGAATGCATGAGAGCCTAACTAATAATTGTTTTCCCTCTTCTTAGACTGATTTTCTCCTGAAGAAGAGAGACCCTTTTTTATCTATCGGAAAGCATTGAGCTTGCTTTTTGTATTCCACAATCTATAAGGTATGAATTTTATCATTTATTACTTATATAATTCCTTCCCAAAAAGGAAGTTATCGAGAGTATTTTAAATGTAAAATAATGTAACAAATTAAATTTTATATTCTTATTAATTTTTTTTTAATTTTTAAAAGAGAATTAAGGAACTGTATAACGAAATCCTCTGATTGTAAAGTCTCTAATCACTTGTCAAAATTATCTTCCGTTGGAATATCACTTAAATTGTTTGAAAGAACGAATATTACTTACTGAACGAACAGCTTCAGTAAAATCCTCAAGCTTCCACAGTGGACGATATTTGGAGCAATTGTGACCTGCGAACTGCTGCCAACTTCCTTTAAATACTTCAACTGATGTCGAAATAAAAAAGTAAATAAAACGAATCCGTCCAGTTTTAAGACGAATATTATCAGTAAATACAGGAGGGGCCCGAAACCAGGAACAAAGACGAAGGTCCGCCCTACTTAGGGTAGAACGCCATCTTCGCAACGGTGACGCAACTTACTCTTCAACTTCCATTCATTGGTTCAGACGATAGCCTAGATACTTTCCGTAGGAAAATCCCTATTATTTCCCCCGGGTCGATCTAGAGCATTGGGCGCAAAGATGATGTAATTTTTTTTCCGTCTTTAGAAAGTGATATGCAGAAGCCCATCGGGCATTCGGGAAATGGACATTAGCATTCTCCTCACGTTCCACGTCCGCGTTCGAGAGCGAGAAAGTTCCTTCGGCGGTGCAGACAATATGCTTCTTTTCTAATTAAAGAACATGTCAAAGATTCGTAGAAAGGATTCAAATTTCGTCTGCGAAGAATAATTTTCTTTACAATGTGTTTGTTTAATATACGATTAACTTAATACGCACTTGTTACAAACTTATGCTACTAGAAATTGCTCCAGAAAAGTGAAATTTTATTTTGAGCTTCTATCGTTGTTTATAATAAATTCTAGAGAATTCCTTTTCAGGTGCACATGAAACCTTTCACCTAATTTGACTCTTAGATACTTATAAAATTTCTTTTTTATGATTTTTTTAAGCACGAAAATAATTCAATGGTTTGAATATCCTATCTGGAAAAAACGTCAGTACAAAAAAATGTGTCCTTCTTTTATTTAAAAGTTTAGATACCAATAATATATGGCCCTATAAATTTCTTTTGATAAAAGTATAAGGTATTTCTCCCACTTCCCTAGCGTCTCTTCGTGGTGTAACGGTAGCACGTTGGGCTGGTATTCCAGAGGTCCGTGGTTCGATTCCCGGCGAAGGCGGTTGCATATTTTTCATCTTTTTTGCTTCCAAAAATCCTAATGTCTCTACAGTGGAGCCCGAACTAATAGGGTTGTGGATGATGATTCTCCACACCCAGGATTTGGCGACTAGGTCCCCTAATACCCTAGTCACCCTTTAAAAAGGGGCGTATATAAGGTATTTCTCCAACTTTCCTATCGTCCTTCGTGGTGTAGTGGTTCTGCACGCTGGGCAGGTATTCCAGAAGTCCGTGGTTCGATTCCCGGTGAAGGCGATTGCTACTTTTTCATCTCTCCGGTCTCAAAATAAATTATTGTCTCTACAAGTGGCACCCGAACTAAAAGAGTGTTGGATGAGGTTTCTCCACACGCAGGATTTGGCGATAGGGTTCCCTGAAAACCCCTGTCGCCCTTTAAAAAGGGGAAGATATAAGGTATTTCTCCCACTTTCCTAGCATGCCTTCGTGGTGTAACGGTAGCATGCTGGGCCGGTATTCCAGAGGTCCATGGTTCGATTCCCGGCGAAAGCGGTTGCATATTTTTCATCTTTTCTGCTTCGAGTAAACCTAATGACTCTACAAAAGTATTTCACGAAATTTGTTAGTTCTGTATCAGATAAGCATCCTGTTATTTCCACAGTAAAGTTTATGTTATTATGTTTAGCTAATGCCATTCAGCTATTAAAACTACTTCAACGATTCATACGTACCGCAACAATTTCATTGTTAAATTGACAAGGTAATTTAATATTCCGAAATTAAATAACAATCGTAAGAGATATTTCTGTTCAAAATCGATCAAGTTACTATTTAATATTATGATACCTCAGCATAATATCTTATTGTGGAAGTTTTAGTAAATATTATCTAAAAGTGATCTAATCTTTTAATTTGTGATATTGCATTTTTAATTTTAATTCTGTAAATAACCTTAATGAGAAAAATTTTAAACAATTTTTAATTAATTTTATATATAAAATATTTACTTCCAAGTTAATTGAACCTCCAATTAACCGTAGAAGCATTGTAAATTATTTAGATGGAAATATTCGTGTTCAGATTATTTTGTAAATACTAGTAGCAGAAATATGATTTCGTAATGTTCGCTAAAAGCTTTGATTAATATATTTCTTAAAGTGTAAAAAATATTTTATGAAAACATTTACAAAATTTTATTATATTACTTGTTAAAAATTTTAGGTCAGTAATAAATCAGATTTAATATTTTGATTAGCATACATAAAGCATAAATTTTACTGACGTAACATATCAACACTTTCGATTCATTTTCTGAATAACAGTCTAAGTTTAGAAGTAAAATTATTTCATCAATTTTAATCGCAAATATAATTAATGCTTTTAAATACTGGTATCTAGTTTTCACATACCTTCTGAAAATTTAATGTAGAGGGAATATATGAAAATTTAATATTAAATAAAATGTTCACATATTTTTGTAACGATTTTGCATATATATAAAAAAACCCTTAAAATTTTATTTTCTAATATGTTCCATCCGATAGCGCTTTTGTTGAACTATCATAGAATACCTCGATTTCCAAGATAAAAGTCCTTTTATTAAAACATCAAGTTGATTTTATTCCACTCCTCGTTCACACTCTTCCAGAGTCCATCCAATGTTTGGGGATGCCGTTTATAAAGAATTCGTTTCAAAACTCCAAATGCACATTAATTCGTAGGAGGCACATCAAAGGACTTGGGTGAGATACATTTAAAGGGAATAGTTTCAAATCCTGTTTCATTTTTCATACTTTCAAAAAATAGAACAGTCGATTTAGAGATACAGCTTGGAGCCTTATCCCAAGGAAACTTAACACAGTGAAGATTGTTTGTATAAAGAGATGGAATTTCTTCTTTAAAAATGGGTATTAAAACATATTTCTGATAGAAACCCGAAATAATTTTCACATTTTATTGTACTTTCCTTATTTTAAGTTTTTCGTTATAAGAGAATCCAGTAATAGTTATAAGAGAATCCAGTAATAATCCACAAAACCCTTCAGAAAAACTTTCCTTTTTTTCTCTGAACCAGCATATTAAGTCTTTTTCTCCTCTTTTTCGGTAGTAAATCGATCTCTTTCTTCTGGAATCAGATAAACCTATCCAAGCATCATCCATTGTAACTATACAATTTCCATTTTACACCTGCCAAATAATTTTCACACAGCAATCTGCACATGCAATTACGCCGAGAAACATGTTTCGGCGTTGGGTGATGAACATCCCGTTCTTTTGTTTTGATTAGCTTTGAAATCAAATCTTATAATTTTGTTCACTGTTCCTACAGAGGTATTTAAAGGTTTTGCTATAGCTCTTCGGGCGGCTGGAGTTTCCTTTAAAACATGAGATGCGACTTTAGATTTAATAAGAGCTGTACGTACCTTTGATGGGTATGCATTTTCTTTGCATTTTTCCCAGTTAGGAGTATACTTTGACGTTTCTTTCTTTTCATATTAATTATATCAGTTATTTTACGTGTAGAAATATTAAAACCATGATTTTCATATCTCTTTTTAATAATCGAATAAGAATATTTCTCTTCGGACAGCGCAAAAATATAGACTTCGATCCCTTGTTTATTTTTCAGAAACATTTTAAAGAAAAAATATTTTTTATTCTGCAGACGATAAATAATTTTTTTTCCAATTGGATGCCAGTCACGGTTATATTTTAAAATTAATATTTATGTAGAAAATCAAATTCGTTACAAAAATGCGTAACACGCTCGGTATTTATAATACATATAACCTTAATGAGAAAAATTTTAAATGGGTGAAAAAGGATTCTCATATTCTTTGTGATGTTAAGTGTTTGCTTCAGTTAAAACCATATCAGTAAAAGTAGAGTTCAAATATTTCGTGAAAATTTTTATGCAAAGTGAATTATGCATGTTTTTATTTCTATACAATGTAAAAAGCTGTGACTTGTTTCGACGAAAAATCCTTCCTCAATGGGCTGAATACCATTAATTCATACGACAATGATAGCTATATTTTAAGCAAATTTAGCGGTCGAAAACAATAAGCATATCTATAAATATAGGTTCCCTGAGAATTTTTGTTGTTTTTCGGGATTTCAAAACTATAATTTGTCACAGACCAATGACTTGACGGGCGAGGTAGAAAGATGAAAGGTTGGAATGTTATCTCAGATGGATGACGAAGATTAAGAAAAATAGCATGTATTGTCATTCATCTGAAGATTGGACAGAAGGAAAAAGAAGCAATCTGATTTTATTTTAACACTGTAGCTATTTCCATCGTTAATCCCTGATTATCAGCAAAATTTCTTTACGATTATTATGGTTAGAATAAAAATTTAGTTTAATGCATCATGAACCTTTTTGCAGTATCTAAAAAGTCCCTAAATCGAAAACGTACTTATGCCAAAACCAAAAAATCGAAAACATACTTACGTTAAAATTTGATCATTTTAGTGATTTTATTGCGTAATCTGTAGACTGCGCTAAACACACAAATAATACAAATATAGTCCATACTACCATTACGTAATAAAGTAACTCAAGTTAATGCATCCAAATATTTTGCATAGGTGTTTTCAAGGTGCTTAACCAGTTGACTGTGATTGACGAGTATACTCGTTATGGAGAAGCGAGACGGTTTTGTGTATTGACGAGTATACTCGTCAGAAGCGGCACGATTTTGCGTATAGGAGTATATCGTCATGCGTATAATGAAATGGAAAGATAAGAGGGAGGTTTATTTAGTAAGTACTGTACATAACGACAAAGTAATAGAAACAGAGGAAAGAAAAATAATAAAAAAGAAACCGGAGCTAGTGATTGATCATAACAAAAAAAATGGGTGGAGTGGATAGGAGCGATGGAATTATCATAGCGTACTCCACAGCAAGAAAACGACTGAAAAAGTTCTACAAAAAAATATTTCTCCATTTCTTAGACATTATGCGTCTGAATGCATTCATATTATAAAAAAAAAAAAAATAATGGAACATGATCGCGTATCAACTTTTTGCTCCAATTTATTGAAGACACTTTTGCGACGTATCCAATTGAAAGAAATAAATCGACACAAACTCGGCCATTTAGACCTAATATAAAACAGTTAGGCGGGAATCATGTTCCGGATAATATACTAGGAACATCGGAAAAAAGAC